GGGGCGGGGGGCACCCTGAACCTGGCCCTGTCCGAGGCTGGGAGGCCGCACCCCCACAGGGCTGAGCAGGAGAGGGAGCAGGAGCCAGGACCCCCTGAGCTGTCCCTGAGGACGCCGCTTTGCTCTGACGCAGAGTCCTAAGCAGGAGGGACAGAGCGCAGACGCAGCTCCAGGCCAGGGGACAGACTCTGAGCCCTGGGTTGTGTCCACAGGGCTCTACCGTCCCCCCTCCCCCCGCCAGGACCATGAAGAGGGGAGCGGATAGGCCGCTGCTGGAGGACAGTGCAGTCACCTTGGCTGTGCCACGTGGACGCCAGGCCACAGGAGGACTGTCCAGGTCCACACTGCAGATGGGGAAACTAAGGCCCAGAGCTCCCTGCACCTGTGGGTGTGGAGCAGGAAGGCGACAGCACTGCACCCGCCACCTGGTGCAGGCAGGGTCCAGCTTTGCGCTCTGTGGCAGAGGACACCCGATGGCAGAGGGACAGAGTAGAGCCCAGTTGGACCACTGCAGCCCCTACCAGGCAGCTGGGGAAAATGACAACCTGGCCAGGTGCCCATGCCCATGCGGGCCTCTGTCCTCACTTCCACTTTACAGGCAGGGAGACACCAGGGCACTGACCGAGCCTCTCCCCATGGCCCCTGTGTGGGCCTGCAAGGGGTCACATGGCACCAGGCAGAGGACCCGCTGACCCCAGTGGAGATCCTATGAGGACCCGGTTCCCTGCACGCAAGGTTGGGGTTGGGGGGAGTGTCGGGATCTGAAGACAGGCCCCGGATTCAGAGCCTCAGAAACCAGGAACAGCATGTCACTCACAGTCCCCCGTGGACACTGGCCAGCACTCGGGACCAAACCCCACGCTCAGCTCTGACCAGCTCACCCTCCCAAACCCATTTCTGAGAAACTCAAAGGGAAGGGAGAGGATGGAGCCCAGAGCAGCACCAGGCTGCATGTCCCGCTGCTGCTGGGCTGAGAGACACGCGTGAAAGGCCCCTTTGTGCCAGCTGCCCGGCATGCATCCCGCCTCCTGCCCAAGCCGAGAGCGGGCACCAGCCGGGCGAGATAGGAGAGCCCAGCCCCACTTCCGGCCAGAGTCCCAGGAGTGCCAGCAGGCATGGACAGCGTGCCTGCCCGCAGGGCCTGGGTCCGAGCTGTCCCTGAGCAGCTGGGTGGACAGGGACAGGCCAGAGCAAGGGGCAGGTGAGGCAGGGAGCTGCGGTGTGGGCGTTGAGGGCACACTGGGTATTGGGGCCCAACAGAGTCCAGTGCGACCAGGAGTGGACACTGACTCCATCCCCTGGACCTCCCCACCCCTTCTGTCCCCCTCAGCCTGTGAGCCTCAGCGTCCCGCCTCGTGCCAGCAGGACTTCCATGCCTCCTGCTGTGACCTGGGGCTGGGGACCCACGGGAGACTGACCGGCCTTCAGAGAGACGAGGTCTGCGGGCCTGTGTGGGGCTGGCATGCCCAGGCGGGGCACTTCACCTGCCCGGTTATGGCCCGGGAAGCAGAGGGGCTGGCTGGAGGCTGCTTGCTGAGGGTGCTGGGGGTGTGGCACGGACAGAGCTGAGCCGGGGGATGGGGCCACGCAAGGGGCCACGCTGCTGGGCTCGGAGGGGGAGTAACTGCGGGGGGACCGCACAGGGTCCACGCTGCTGGAGCTGGGTGGCAGCAACTGGCCCGGCTCGGCAGCCTGGCAGGGTCTAACCGGAGTGGCCGTGGACAGCAGAAGCAATACAGGCCCGGGCTCCCCTGGGCAGACTTGGCCTCCTCAGAGGGGCATCTGGCCGGGGAGCCCGGGCAGCTTCGCTGCACGATCTGCCTCCCACCCCCCAGGGGCGCTCCTGCCAGGCTGGAGGCGCCCGCCCCCACCCCCGCCGGGCTCAGGCTCCCACAGGACAGAGGCTGCTTGTTCCCGCCTGCTGCTCGCCCTCCCCTCCCGGCCTCCCTCCTGCAGGCTGAGAGCTGCAGTTCTCTGGGAAGAGAGGTGGGGCAGTCGCCCTGGGCCTGCCGTGCTGGCTCCCCTTGCAGCCCATCTCCCCTGAGCAAAGGCGGGGCCACCGGGCACTGCGTCGGCAGGGTGGGGCTGCTCCCTGCAGGCTGGCCCCCCCCCGGTGAATCAGGCATGGCCTGTGGTGTCAGCCTGCCTCCTGGTCCCCCACACCTTTGGCCCCCCTTCCCCTTAGCCTACAGCCCTAGCAATCTCTACACCCACAACCCTGCCCTACTCGACTCTGACCTCCGTTCCCTATGCCCACCTCCCTGCCCTGCTCACCCATACCCTCCACACCCCTCTCCACTCACCTCTGCCCTCCACACCCTGGCCTGGCTCACTCCTGCCCCATACCTCCCTGCCCCATTCACCTCTACTCTAAACACACCATCGCACTACACACACCCCTGCCCCCCTCACCTCTGCCCCACGCCCCTGCTCCACTCACCTCTGCCCACACCTTCCTGCCTCACTCACCTCTGCCCCCTCACCTCTGCCACATACCCCTGCCCCACTCACCTCTGCGACACTCACCCCTGCTCCACTCACCTCTGCCCTCCACACCCTTGCCTGGCTCACCCTTGCCCCATACCTCCCTGCCCCATTCACCTCTGCTCTAAACACACCATCCCACTACACACACCCCTGCCCCCCTCACCTCTGCCCCACGCCCCTACTCCACTCATCTCTGCCCACACCTTCCTGCCTCACTCACCGCTGCCCACACATCCCTGTCCCACTCACCTCTGCCCCACTCACCTCTGCCACATACCCCTGCCCCACTCACCTCTGTGACACTCACCCCTGCTCCACTCACCTCTGCCTTCCACACCCTTGCCTGGCTCACCCTTGCCCCATACCTCCCTGCCCCATTCACCTCTGTTCTAAACACACCATTGCACTACACACACCCCTGCCCCCCTCATCTCTGCCCCACGCCCCTGCTCCACTCACCTCTGCCTACATCTTCCTGCCTCACTCAGCTCTGCCTCACATACCTCTGCCTCACTCACCTCTGCCCACTCACCTCTGCCCCACTCACCTCTGCCACATACCCCTGCCCCACTCACCTCTGCGACACTCACCCCTGCTCCACTCACCTCTGCCCTCCACACCCTGGCCTGGCTCACCCCTGCCCCATACCTCCCTGCCCCATTCACCTCTGCTCCAGACACCCCATCCCACCACACACACCCCTGCCCCCCTCACCTCTGCCCCACGCCCCTGCTCCACTCACCTCTGCCCACACCTTCCTGCCTCACTCACCTCTGCCCCACTCACCTCTGCCACATACCCCTGCCCCACTCACCTCTGCGACACTCACCCCTGCTCCACTCACCTCTGCCCTCCACACCCTGGCCTGGCTCACCCCTGCCCCATACCTCCCTGCCCCATTCACCTCTGCTCCAGACACCCCATCCCACCACACACACCCCTGCCCCCCTCACCTCTGCCCCACACCCCTGCTCCACTCACCTCTGCCCACACCTTCCTGCCTCACTCAGTTCTGCCCCACATACCTCTGCCTCACTCACCTCTGCCCACGCAGCCCTGTCCCACTCACCTCTGCCCCTCTCACCTCTGCCACACTCTCCTGCCGCACTCACCTCTGCCACATACCCCTGGCCCACTCACCTCTGCCACACTCTCCGCCCCACTCACCTCTGCCCACACACCCCGCTCACCTCTGCATTGCTCTCATCTCCCCCACAGCACCCCCTGCTGGCCAGCTGGCTGCCTCCGGGGCTGGGGCTCTGCACTGCTTCTTAACTGCCGGGTAATTAGCTCCGAGCTGCTCGTATGCTTATAATAGCCTCCATTAAAGTTATGGGGTTTTCAAGCATAATGGCTTCCAGAGTAATTAATGCACAACTGGGTTTATTGCTAAGTTTATTTTTAGAGCTTTTTGCCCTCAACCCCCCCTTTCATGTATGTTTTGTCCAGAATGCCAGGAGGGATCAGAACGTAGCCTGACCCAGCTGGGGGCACCCCTCTGGAGCCGACACCCCAGGTGGGGATGGGTGTGGGGAGGAGGGTGTCCTGGGTTCGGCGCCAGCGCTGGAGCCTGGAGTCCCCCCCCTGCGCCTGAGAGGGTGGACTTGCCCACACCCACTGGGGATGGCCATGCGCACACCTTCCTAAGGGATTGGACATGGGATGGACAGGCCACGCCCACCTGCCCCCCTCCGCTGAGCCTGCTTTAGATGAGGGGCTGAGGCTGCCCCCAGGAGCTTCGCACAGGTCAGCCTCCCTGTCCTGGCAGGCAAGCCTGAGATCCCCCGGGGAGCTTGGCCGAGGCTGTCTCTGGGCTGTGTCCCCCTGGGTCCCACTCTACTTCCCAAGGGGACACACCGGCTTGGGCCCTTGACACTGGACCCAGGGATAGTTCCTAGGGTGTTCAGCAACCATGTGACCAGGGAAATGGGAGGGAGGCCCAGGATGGTGGCAGAGTGTGGAGGACATGGGCCCCATCCTGTCCGTGTCCCACAGAATCTTTGACTCACAGAAGGGGCACTGGATCGTTTCCTGCCAGGCCTAACATAGAGCTGTTCGTTTGCCCTCATCCAATGCAGCTAGCACCTCCATCCAGCCATCCAGGTGGCAGAAGGATGACTGGGCTCCATCTCAGGAGTGACCACCCGCGTCTGTTCCAAGACGTGCCGGGCTCTGTCTACATGGCAGGTGCTGCCCACGTCATCCTGAGTCTGTGCCAGACACTGTGTATACAGCAGGCACTGCCCAAAGGCCTCTGGCTGGTGCATCTAAATCTTTGCCGTGTCCTGCTGGTTCTGGGACAGCAGCACTGTGACTGTGTGGACAGCTGGGGCGGTTCAGATGCAGGGCCCAGGGGGACAAAGGCAGGGCCCAGGGGGACAGAGGAGGCAGAGGCAGGAGCAGAGGCAGGACCCAGGGGACAGAGATGCCGCAGGAGGCAGCTGGCCGGCAGCAGCCCTTGCAGCGTGTCCCCCAGGCCCCTGCCAGCCCCTGCCCCCCATGCTCTCTTGCAGGTGCTCTCCTCACCCGGCTCCTGACCGCCCTCCACAGCCCCGCACCCCGCCGGCCCTGCAGACCTGCTTCGGCAATGGGTGGGTTGTGAGCGCGCGGGCCTGCTGGCCGTCCTCGGCTCCCCGGCCCCCCCGGCTGGCCGGCGTGGCCCATTTCTGTTCTTTTCTCCCCTGTGCTGCCGCGGGCCCGGCCCCCCTCTCCCGACCTGCTGCTGCTCAGGGAATGAGGAGCTGTGGGCCCAGCCAGCTGTGGAGATGCCGAAGAGACGGGACATCCTGGCCGTCGTCCTCATCGTCCTCCCCTGGACACTGCTCATCACCGTGTGGCACCAGAGCACCATCGCGCCACTGCTGGCTGGACACAGGGGTGAGCCCTGCCTACCTGGTCCTCCTTGTCACCCACGGCAGGGTGGGAGGAGCCCTGGGGAATGATGCAGGCTTCGGGAGATGGCCTGTGCTGCTGCGGTGACAGAAGGCACCAGGTAGACCCAGAGTCAGCAGGACACTGAACTGTCACCCCCTGGGCCTGACCTTGCCCCACTCGGGAGGGTTCAGGCAAAGCTAGAGATAGCTGGGCAGGCTGAGCGTGTCCCCAGCCGCACATGGTGCCCTGAGCACCCCTGGACACAGCCCGGAGTCACCCCAAGGGCTGCTTGGTGTGGTGAGCAGACAAAAGAAGCACAGGCCGGAGGGAAAGGAAGGTGAGAAGAGAGCTGAGGGCCTTCCTGGGGCCATGGCAGCCCAGAGCTCTGCCCTTCTCCAGACGGCCCTGGACTGTCCAGAGGCCGCCACTGCCCCGCCTAACTCCTTAGTTCCTGTCACATGGTGCCCCTCCTCCTAATCTACTCATGCACACACTGGTAGACACACAGGGACACATGTTTACACATGTACACACAGGCAGGTGCACACAATGCACACACAGGCACGCACACACGCATGCACACACAGAGATGGGCACATACGCACATGCATATAGACATAGGGAGGCACATGCTCACACACATGTATACACAGGCAGGCACACACACACATGCAGGTATACAAGTACAGGTATGCACACAGGCAGGCACATATGCTGGTACACGCACACACAGGCAGGCACAATGCTCACATATGCACACACAGACAGGCACGCACACGCACACGCACACACATACACAGGTAGGCACACACATGCATACACACATGCAGATGCACTCACATGCATACATACACATAGAAAGACACACACATGCGTACATACATGCATACACGTGCATACACAGGCATGCATACCTGCACATAAGGTGTGCAGGCACACACGTATACACCTATTCACAGGCACAATAATATGCATGTGTATGCGGAGACATATATGCATACATATAGAAATACAGGTGCACACATGCACACACAGACCCCACACCCCAGAGCCCTCATCCCCCTGCAATGTGCCGAGTTGCTATGGGGCAGGATAGTCTGGGAACCCCAGTGAGCTGGACCCCAGCATGCTACATCCAGGAAGCACAGTTGGAGGAGGCTGCTCCAGCAGTGACCTTCTGGTCTTCTCCACACCCCTCCCACTCCCCACCTCTCCTGCTAGCCACTGCTTCCAGGAAGCCCTCCTGCCTAAGGAAGTCGAAGCATCTCTGCCCAATCCAGTCTGTCGCTTGAAGCAACAGAAAGTGCCTCAGAAACTGGCATCGGGCCCTCAGCCCAGTGCAGGCCGGGATGGCCTCTGTCTCCCTGGAGCACGCCAAGAGGGACTGGACAAGTTAGGGGTGCCCACCGGGGGGGTCTCTGACCTCCCAGCGCGCACAGAGGTCAGGGGAACACTCTTGGGGAGGAAGAGCCCCGTGTGGATGGCTCAGGGAGCCCCTCCACAGGTCAGGACTGGCTCTTTCATTCTTTCCCGCTTCGGATTCCGAAGCATCCCAGAGTGCAGGACAAGTGAGCCCCGCATCCCAGGCAGCACTCATGAGCCCCCCACGTCCTGGGCGGCACCCACGAACCCCCCATGTCCTGGGAAGCACCCACAAGGCCCTGCGTCCTGGGTGGCACCCATGAGCCCACCACGTCCTGGCAAGTGCCCATAAGCCCCCGCGTCCTGGGTGGCACCCACGAGGCCCGTGTCCTGTCCCTCACCCCATCTCCAGCCTGCTTGTCCCAACCTGGTTCCCTGGCTGCCCAGCCAGAAGTAGCCATTCCAGAGCTGACAATAGTGAGGAGGGTGGGGGACAGATGGACAGTGTCCACCCACACCTTAGGGACAGGACCCTGCCGGCCCTCCTTGTGGGAGGGTGAGGCTAGAGCAGGGCTCCCCTCCCTGGAAGCCGAGAACAGATCCTCCTTTGGCTGCTGTGGTCTGTGGCACTGGCTTGCCGGCCAGTTGAGTACATTAGAGGTGCTGACCGCTGCATGTCACAGTACTTGCAGTGACTGGGGCACCCCCATGGGTACCTGAGTCAGTAAGTTACAGAGCCGGAGGTTCCCAGCCTAGGTCCAGGCCTGTCCCTGCCTCTTCCCCTCCCGTGGAGACCACAGGGCCGGTCCTGTACGCCTGTCCTTCAGACTTTCCAGACCCCAGAGGACCCTTTCTCCCCTGACCAGGACTCGGACTCCCCTTGGAGTGTCCAGGGGCCAGGTCAGGATAGTCACACGCTGACCTGCTGCCTCCAGGGAAGAAAAGGTGGCTAAGAGGCCACCTTGCATGCCACCAAAGGCCACAAGGCAGTGTGCTCTCCAAGATGGGGGGGGGCACCACAGTGAGCACCAGGTACAGTGTGTCTCAGAGGTGGCCACAAGCATGTCCAGAATGTGCAGCTGAGGAGACCCGACCCTAGGAACCCAGCAGGTCTGGGCCCCTTCCTTCTCTGTGCCAATCTCCAATACCACATTCGGGCTGGTGAGGGTGGGGGGAATGCTCTGGCAAAAGCCAGGGAGGAAACAAAGTGAACGCAGAGCTGGGACCTGCAGATGGTCCTGCCACAGGTGCAGGAGACCCTTGTCATGCCAGACCCCATCCAGCTGTGGAAAGCAGGGCTGCCATCTCTGAGGGTAGTGGAGATGGAGGTATCTGGGGACAATCCGTGGCCACGACAGGCTGCACCCCAATCAGGAGAGGGAAAAGGCTGCCTGGGGCCTCTGCAGAACTGAGGCCGGCGCGCCCCCTCCCCCATGCCCTGCCCCTGCAGGTGACGCGGGCGATCCCCGCCGCGACGTGCCCCCAGGAGCGGACCCCAGGGAGTACTGCATGTCGGACCGCGACATCGTGGAGGTGGTGCGCACCGAGTACGTGTACACACGGCCCCCGCCCTGGTCGGACACGCTGCCCACCATCCACGTGGTGACGCCCACCTACAGCCGCCCGGTGCAGAAGGCGGAGCTGACGCGCATGGCGCACACGCTCCTGCACGTGCCCAACGTCCACTGGCTGGTGGTGGAGGACGCGCCGCGCCGCACCGCGCTGACCGCGCGCCTCCTGCGCGACACGGGCCTCAACTACACGCACCTGCACGTGGAGACGCCGCGCAACTACAAGCTGCACGGGGACACGCACGACCCGCGCATCCCGCGCGGCACCATGCAGCGCAACCTGGCGCTGCGCTGGCTGCGGGAGACGTTCCCGCGCAACGCCAGCCAGCCCGGGGTCGTGTACTTCGCCGACGACGACAACACCTACAGCCTGGAGCTCTTCGAGGAGGTGGGGGCTGCGCGGGGCCGGCTGCGGGCGGGCCGAGCACGCGGGGACGGGTCCAGCAGCCGAAGCGTAGCAGCCAGGCGGGCCCCGCGCCCGGCGCTCTGGGGGTCCCTGGGCCGGCTTCAGGCCCTTCCGGCCGCCCCGGGGCCGTGGGGGGAGGGCGGGGGTGCTGACCTGCGCAGGGCCCCGCCCCCAGGGCTCCGGCCTGCGCCCTGACCCCCACCCCGCTTGCAGATGCGCAGCACCCGCAGGGTGTCCGTGTGGCCCGTGGCCTTCGTCGGCGGCCTCCGCTACGAGGCGCCGCGCGTGAACGGGGCGGGGAAGGTGGTCGGCTGGAAGACGGTGTTCGACCCGCACCGGCCCTTCGCCATCGACATGGCGGGCTTCGCCGTGAACCTGCGGCTGATCCTGCAGCGCAGCCAGGCCTACTTCAAGCTGCGGGGCGTGAAGGGCGGCTACCAGGAGAGCAGCCTGCTGCGGGAGCTGGTCACGCTCAGCGACCTGGAGCCCAAGGCCGCCAACTGCACCAAGGTGAGCGCGCAGCGGGGCGCACGGGCTCCCCGCTGCGGCCCTGCAGAGAGAGAAGCGGGCGGGGGCCCTGAGCTGCCCCCGCCCCCAGCCCTGCTCCCAGGCAGCCCCTGGGTGGTCAGCAAAGCACGGTCAGGGTACCAGTGCTCCAGAGGCCGTGCCCCACGGGGCTTATGGCCAGCACGCGCGCTCAGAGGCATGTTGGGGTGGGCGTGGGGCTGCAGGTTAGGCAGGAGGTCGGATCCCTCCGGGACCCTCTGCTCTAGGGAGAAGCTACAGGCTTGGCTGGTTAGAGGAGCCAGCTCGCGCCTGATACACAGGAGTCTACTGGGAGACTGTTACACACAGGAGCTGGAAACTGTTGCAGCAGCAAGGAGACTTCTAGAGACACTCCAGACCCCTATGAGCTGGCCTCAGCACCGTGCCCTTTCCTGGGTGTTCATTCCTGTCCCCGTGTGCCCCTCGGTTCCACTGGGCCCAGTGATCGCCAGCCACCACCCTTGGCCCTCCCTGGGCCCTGCTTGTGCCTGGCAGCTAATCCTTGTTCTCTGAGTTTTGGGTGTTTTTTTTTTTTTTAACTCATGCTCGGCAGTGCTCAGGGGCTACTCTTGGCTCTGTGTTCAGGAGTCATTCCTGGCAGTGCTCAGGGGACCATGCAGTGCTGGGGATCAAACCTGGGCAAAGCTGCAGTCCCTGTCCACTAACCCTCAGTCCCCTTGCGGGGACAAGGTTTCTCTCCTCATACCCACCCCAGCTGGATGCCACCAAGCAGCCTGGCGACCAGGCAGGGCATGAGTCCCCATGGAGAGACTCTGTTGAAACTCACGGCTCCAGGACACACGTCTGCCCAGAGCAGCAACCCTTGGGGCTCAGCCCAGCTATCCCCGCAGATTCCAGGGCCCCTGTTGCAGCCAGAGCCGTGGCGTGGGCCCAGCTGTTGCATGAGTGAACACTGAACAGTCAGCTTCACTCCCGGTGCACAGCAACCAGTAAACAGGGTAGAAGAGCCCAGAGGAGCTTGCAGGGGGAGCAGGGGGCGTCGTGTTACTGCCTGGGCTCCCAATAGATGCAGGAATTCAGGACATGGTGAGGAGGAGCAGGTCGAGGGAGGAACCAGAGATCTCCCTAGGTGGGCAGGAAGCACACAGGGAGATGCCCATGGGCCGTGTCTCTGCGCACTCAGATCCTGGTGTGGCACACGCGGACAGAAAAGCCCATGCTGGTGAACGAGGGCAGAAAGGGCTTCACAGACATCACCGTGGAGATCTGAGCAGGTACAGCCAGGAGGGCTGGGACGGGGTAGTGTGGGAGGGCGGGGCTACTCTGTGGTGGATGGGGCCAGTGTAAGGGGCGGGGCTACTCTGTGGTGGGCGGAGCCGGGTGGGAAAGAGGGGCTACTTTGTGGTGGGCGGGGCTGGAGTGGAAGAAAGGGCCACCCCGGTGAGGACGGGGCTGGACAGGGCCAGGCAGCAAGGGCAGAGTGGGATGGGCCTGGCCAGGGCCAGTGCCCAGATAGCCACAGAAGACATCGGCTGTTTTTCTTTTTCCAAGCCTTAGGAGCGCCTCCTGGCTAGGTGCTCAAACCGTACAATTCCGGCTCCAACCCGGGCACCCACATGCAAGCCTTGCGCTCAGTCCTTGGAGTCACCTCCCCTCACTGCCTTTAGGGGGAGAGGGAGCTGAGCACGGAAGCCAACGCCCACTACTTGGCCAGCTGGGAAGACCCCCTTCCAGACCCCTCCTTGAGGAGCACTGAGGTGTACATGCTCGCGGTCCTTCCTCCCAGGCCTGCTCCGTCAGGCTGGGGTCCAGGGTGCGCTGCATCACCATCTAGAGCGAGGGTTGTCTCAGTCGTGACCTGTAGCCAGCGTGAGACCCCAGCCCCGACTGGCCCCCACTGCTCCCTCCTTTCTTTGATGTAAAATGGCTGAGAGCAAGTCTTGTATAGTCAGTGTTAGTGTTTTTTTTCCTCACTGAGTTTATTTTTGAGCTACACTTAGTGGTGTTCAGGAACTGCTCCTGGTTCAGTGCTCTGGGATTGAACCCAGGCTGCCTACATGCACTCAAGCACTTAGAACTACTTCCCCAACCCACTGTTTTTGTTGTTGTTTTGGTTTTTGGCTTTTGGGCCATACTCAGCACTGCTCCGGATCCCTCTTGATGGGCTTGGGGGACTATATGCAATGCCAGGGATCGAACCAGGATTGGCCGTGTGCAAGGCGTGCACCCTCCCTGCCATATTATCTCTCTGCCTCCCTTCTCCCCCCCACCCCCCACCCCACTAAGTTGTTAAGCTTTTGTGTTGGATGCCAGGATTCCATCCAGGGTCTCACACTCACTGCATCACCCCCGACCACGTGTTTCCACTTTTCTCTGAGTCCCTGGAGCCCTCACTAGAAGCTGGTCCAGGATGTGCATGTTGCCGAGCTAGAAAGGGCACCTGAGCTGCTTGGCACAGGGGGATCAGAACGGCCCAGACTTTCTCTGCTCACACTTCCTCTGCTTCACCACACAAAGCTTGCACAGTTGATTCAGTCTGGGAGACTGGTGTGTGAGCCTCACGGCAGGTCTGCATGCCAGCTTTTTGCATTTAGGAAACAAACAAACAAAACACAGTGTCTGGCGTGAGGTCTACAATTATATGGTGAGACCTGGGTCCACTCCTTACCTGTCCAGTATCTGTGCCCACTGCCTGCCAGGGCCACACTGGCCCACACTGGCTTGTTCTGTCTCTGACATTAACATTAGCAGCTAAAGGGTTGGGTGCTGCCGGGAGGCAGGGTGCTACTGGCACCTGCCACCCCCACCCCCATGAGGGACCTCCAGGACCAAAGTATGTGGCTCAAGCGTGACAGCACATGCCTAGGCCCTGAGGCTGACCCCCCCCCCCCCCAGCACTGTCAGGTGTGGCCCCAGAAGAGAATGAGGGACACCACTGGGGCGTGGCCTGACCACCCACTCGCTCTGCCTTCCCACAGGAGCCTCCCTCAGACCCTGCTCCTGGCCTCACAGTCTGCTCTATTCTGGGAGCCTCCCAGCTCCACTTCCTGCACACAAGGCCCCAGAGCACTGCTGGGTGTGGGCCCTGTCGAAAATAAAATGAAATAAAAATTAAGAGGTCCCAGAGAAAGCCCAGCCTGATGCCAGGACAGAGACTAGGACTCAAGCAGAGACGCCGTCCGCGGGAAGAGATCCTGCTGGCCCGGCCCGCCGTGCTGGGTGATGCCGCCTCTGTCTGTGGGTGACAGACTGCAGGGGCCGGAAGACCAGGCTGGCACCCTCCCACACAGGACACCAGGCCAGGGCATTTGAGGGAGCAGAGGGCACGGCCCCTCTGCGGGCGTCGGGCACACCCAGTGAGCTTCCCCAGCTGACCTGGGTCCTGCATCCAGAGCAGAATCTGGCTGGCCCTGACCCGCCTTGACCCAGGGCGCAGTCTTGCAGGAGCCCCAGGCCCTGGTGGGAGTGATCCCCTTCTCGGCGCACACCCCAAAAGCGTGTTCCTTGCTTGGGGAAGAGGGAAGCAGGAGCTGATCTCACCCCCCCCCCCCCGGGGGCTCCTGGAAACGCAGACCAGAGGGAGCTCGCGTGGGCCAGGAAGGGGCAGAGGCGGGGGTGTGGGGCGAGCCTACGATCCTGCCTGCCTTGGGAGGTGCTGGATGCGCGCCGGGTTAGGGGCCGGACTCGGGCACCGCACACCGCACAGAAATCATCTTTCCAGCTGCAAAACCGGGCGGCGCTTGTCCCGCTGCGCTCCCTGGTGGCTGATCGCTGCGTCCGCAGTCGGAAGCACAATTTCTCTCCTGGTGGACAGGCCACGGCAGCAGACTTCCGTTAAAACGGCCGCTCACCGCCCCTGCACCTCCTCACCAGGGCTGAGCCCATCCAGGGGCCAAGACCAGCCCAGAGACCCACCGTTCCTGCCTGCGGGAGATGGGAGCCTGGAATGGGCGCCCCCTCTCCATGGGACTCCCGCATAGCAGCCTGGATGCAGCCCACACACGGGGCTGCATGCAGGAAACGCACCCAGGGGTGCTGTCTCCCCGTTGTTTTTATTTGGGGGGCGCCCGTGCTAGTTCAGTTTTCCCCTAACTCCCTTAGCTGCATGAGTATTTATTTATAACTAGGGCCCGCGGCAGCTCGGCCGCCCGCTGGGTTAGGGCTTGGTCCCGACTCCGCCCGGGGCACCTGTCCTGTTCCCTCGCAGGGTGAGGCCGGGGCCTGGGCGTGGGCAGGTCAGGGGCCAGCAGGTCAGTTTTAACTGTATTTAATTTGTTTTGGAGATTAAAAGTCGGATATGGTTTTAACAGCCCTAACCCCCCTTCTGTCTGACTTCTTCACTGCCCACAGCACTGCCCGCCCGACCTCGCCGCATCTACCACTGTCCCAGGCAGAGGGCGCAGGACAGCCCCTCTGGCCCCTGCAGGGGTCAAGTGATGATGAAGGGGAATCAGTGTGGCCACAGGGGGCCCTGTCTGGCTGTGGGGGCCCCGTGTGGCCGTGGAGGGAGTGGCCGTGGGGCCCCGTGTGGCCAAGCACAGCGACTAGGCGCAGTCAAGGGTCTCTTGTGGGGGCGCCTCTAGGGGTTCCTGACATCTGTGGGAGCAGAAGGCTGGGAAAGGTGGGAGGTAGGCAGGACCCCCAATAGGAGCACTGATGCTTAGCAGGAGTCCGCTGGGGACCGTCCTGCCCGGGGGTCAGGGGGTGTGCACAGGGCTGGTGAGGGGTGGGCATGAGGGTGTCTGAGGACTTCGGTTGGGGAGTCACACCTTGAAAAAGAAGTGTCTATTCCAGGAAGATGGGCACCCCTGAGAGTCCCCAGGAACAGAACTGCCCCTGCAGGCCCTAAAACCTCCAGACCTGGAAACCCCCCAGACCTGGAAAACCCTCTAGGCCCAGAACCGCCTCCAGGCCCAGAACCCCCTCTAGGACCAGAACCATCTCCAGACCATGATCTCGGCTAGTGTCCCCACAGCTGTCCCCCCAAGCTCATGGCGAGGGGTCACAGCCCTGGGGTCAGCTGCTATTTGACCCCAACACGGAAGCTGAGGGCTCTGTTACAAGTCCAGAAGTGAAGGATCAGTGAAGGATGATCCCCAAGCCTCGCCTCCCCTCCAGAATTCTCTCCTCCAGGATCCTCCCCACCCAGGGCCCTCCAGCTAATCTCTGGCCCGGTGCACAGGGCAGTGACCCCAGAGGCCGCCAACATGGCTTTATTGCAATTCAAGGAATCCAAGCCCCACAGCTGTGAGAGTGGAGTGCTGCCGGGCCCGGGCGTGACCACGCCCACACCTGCCTTTTCCCACCAGCACCCTGGAGAGCGAGGTTCCTGTGAAGAGTGCCCTCCTGCCCCCCCAAGCACCCCGAAATCCTCCTGGAGGCGCGGGGCTGAGGGTCCCTGTTACTCTCGCTGGCCGGTACCCTCTGATGCTGGCAGAAGGGAAGGAACTGGGGGGCATGTCAGTGGGTGGGGCACCATGAGGACCAAGCACACGCAGTCCCCCTTTCCAGAAATGCGTAGGGGCCACATGCCGTCAGCTGCCTGCCTGAGTTCTGGGGGCTTCCCCAATGGACCTGCCGCTCCTCCTCCCAAGCCCGGAGAGGCGGGTTCCCAGCAGTGTGAGCTGGGCGGCGGGTTCTCCTCTAGACTCCAGTCAGAAGCAGGCGGAGTGCGGCTCAGCTGACGTACTGCATCCTGCCCAGGTGCGGGGTCTCGGAGAACAGCACCACGGAGCCCGCCAGCTTCTCCTCAAAGACCACCAGCTGCAGAAAGGCCCGGCAGGCGGGGCCCACGAGGGTTGCAGAGAAGGGAGGGGCCAGCCCTGCCCCCGACCGCCTCCCAGGGAAAGCCAGGACACAGGGAAGGGGCCCGGGGTGGGGGCGGGCTGGCCAGTGCTCCCACCTGGTTGGAACCCCGATATAACCAGGGCCCTGGGAGGTACAGGGTCTTCTGGGGCCCGACGTTCCAATAGCGCCCCAGGTTTTGGCCATTCACGAATACGACCCCTTTCTCCCAGTTCTGTCAAGAGGTGTGTGGGGGGAGATCTGTCAGCCACTGGGGTCGCCCAGTAGAATGGGGTGTTCTGGCCCCCCAGCTCTCAGCCTCCCAGGCAGGGCCCCCGAGCATGGCTGGGACGCAGGTGTGCACCCCGAAAAGGGCACTGGGGATCCTCCCGGCCCCCCACCCCTGCTGGGGGGCCATGCAGAGGGAACTGGACACGGGGCCCACCTCCAGCATCATGAAGCTGTCAGCGGGCGGTATCAGGACGGTAACGGAACCGATGAAGAAGGCGGGCAGGATGGGCACCTCGGGCACACGGGTCCACTTCTTGCTGAACCTAGGGACGGAGGGAAGATGGGCCGTCGCAGGGGGCACCCCCCTGAGTGGGGCCAGAGGCCATGCAGCGGGCACCCACCTGGGGAATAACTCCTTCTTCATGTCCAGGCTATAGATTCTGAATTTTTTCAGGGGAGAATGATTGAGAGAGACGTTTCCGATGATGCCTGTGGGAAGGATGCCAGGAGCTAGGAGGCAGGCCACCGAGCGGGGGACAGACCTGAGGTCAGCCACCCGCAGACATGGGACCTTCTAGAAAGCTCCAGAGAGGCTCTCTCCTGATGCATACACCTCTCAGGGGTGAGGCTGCAGGGCACCAGCTCTTCCCAGCAGCCCCCAGGGAACACTGAGAATGAGTCAAATGTTGATTTGCCAGGCCAGGACTCATAGGGAAGGCCATTCCCTGGCCACGGCAGACTGAGCTCCTCTGGCACCCCTGGGCGCTCTGTAAGGGGGCGCGTCTCCAGGAGCTGTTCTTCAATGAAAGGAGCCTGTGGGGCAGAAAGTCAAGAAAGTGTCCCAGTGCTTCCAGACACAGAGGATGGAAGAAGCCAGACAGGAATTTTCTGGGGTCGAGATGGACTTGCACCGTGTCAGAGCACATGGGGGCTTGGGGGTGGTGCCCGGGCTGCCAGCCCACTACAGTCGGGGCAGCACACTCTGCCAGCAAGCGGGAGGAGGCTGAAGCCCAACAGGCCCAGGGAGTGGACAGGAGAGAGCCAGGGAGACGTGAGGAGGCCGGAAGGTTCCAGAAACTGCTCTGAGATTGTTCCCGAGGGGCCTGAAGCCCAGAGCACATACAAACTCAAGCTCCCTCATCCCAAGGGCCAGTCAGCACCCCATCCCCTCGCCAGTCAGGCATCTGTCTGTCCTTCCTTCCTACATCACGGTGACAGACAAGAAAGGCACGGTGGTTCTAAGAGAAAAGGCTGAGGAGGTCAGGAAAGTGTAAGATGAGTCTCTCCCACAGAAGAGAGAGATGAGGATACCCCACAGGAAAGAGACAAGGATATCCCACAAAAAAAAAAAAAGATGAGGATCTCCCACACAAGAGAGATGAGGATAGATACACCACAGGGAGAAGAGACAGTGCTGTCCCACAGGTAGAGAGATAAGGATATCCCAAAGGAAGAGATGACAGCATCCCACAGGGATGAGAGACACAGCGGATGGAAGGATATCTCACAGGGATGAGAGAGACAAGGCTGCCCCACAAGAAAGGGAGAGTAGAGACCCAGAGACCTCAGGAGCTCAGTGCACACCAATGTGGCCCTCACACGCTGCTGGCCGGTGAGCCCCCAGGTCAGCAGGCCAGATTCCTTCTCGGTGGGGACCGGAAGGCAGGGTCAGGTCTGGGATTTCTGGAAGGCCCTTCCCTGCCCCTCAGCCATGCACCCCCACGAAGGGAGAGCCCCTCCAGAGCAGACAGCTGTGAGGGGGCCTTGAGACACAGGGCATCCTGAGCGTCCGGAACACCTGTGGCCAGCACTGAGCTGCTCTCCAGGAAGAAGCCAACGGACCCAGGCCTTTGTCCACCTCCCCACTGCCCTCAGCACCACCCCCCCAGGAACCCCCTGTCCCGTGCGCTCAGTTACTGTGTCCCACTCCCAGGGACCCTTGTCCCACCCCCCAGAACCCTGTCCCAACTCCCTCAGTGATCCCAGTCCCCCCCTCAGTGACCCCTGCTCCCAGGGGCTCCTCTCATCCCTTCAGCCCCCTGGGCAGTGTCCTCAGGCAGTCCTGCCACCCGCGGCAGCGCCCACCCCCAGGGACCCTTGTCCCACCCCCCAGAACCCTGTCCCAACTCCCTCAGTGATCCCAGTCCCCCCCTCAGTGACCCCTGCTCCCAGGGGCTCCTCTCATCCCTTCAGCCCCCTGGGCAGTGTCCTCAGGCAGTCCTGCCACCCGCGGCAGCGCCCACCTTTGCGCTGGTCGTCCATCGGCCCGTAGTTGACCCGCCCACAGTTCTCCACCAGGATCCTCAGCTTGGAGTATCCCTGCCAAGGACACGGGCCACGCGGCCACTTGATCTCCAGCACTGGGCTGGCCACAGGGTGCCCCCTCTGGCCACCCCCACCAGAGCCGGCCCCGCTGTGGGACCACACACCTGGACGAAGGGGATCAGGACCTCTGGGTGGTCGTAGTCGAGGAAGCCAAGAGACATGGAGTCCAAGAAGACCTGCCGTGGGCAGACAGTGGGCTCAGCAGAGCCTGGCACAGGGGGCAGGGGTGGCCAGCCGGGGCATTGCTGGGTGCAGAGGGCAGGGGAGGGTCAGGCCGGGGGCATCGCCCACCTGCCCGCGGTCGCGCACGTCGGCCTGCAGGACGCCGGCGGCATCGATGGTGGTCTCGTACAGCGTGTACCCGAAGGCCTGGCCGTTGCCATTGTTCACAGGCAAGTTCTCCATGTTCATGGGCCAGTCCGAGGTCACCGGCTGGACAGAAGAGAGGGAGGCGGGAGCCCGCGGGGGCTGGGAGCAGATGCCTGCCCCCTGGGAGGGGCCGACCTCGGCCTGGATTCCACGGCACAGACTCCAGGTGCCCGTCCAGTGCACAGCAACTCTGGGGTGCCCAGGGCCACGAAGCAGCTCCCCAGACCACACCACCCTCTTGAGGGCACCCGGAGCCCCGAGCTTGGCCTCTGTGTCCCCACGTGGGGGCCTCTACTGAGAAGGGGTGACTCCCGCCCCGGCCCCTGCTGTGTCACCCACCCCGTGGGCCCTCACCTCGCCCAGGTGCTCAAGGGCATCCCAGAGGGGCAGGTACCAGGAGAAGGTCACAGGGTCGTAGGCAGCTTTGGGGAGGAGCTCAGGGGGCCGAGGCAGGGGTCTCTTTCCTGCACAAACATGCCAGGACCCGTCACTGCCCCGCTCTCCCTCTGGACCTGGGAGCCACCAGGTGTGCAGACCCCTCCTCGGGTGCTCAGATCCCATGGGAGGGCCAGGGGCTTCCCTGGGGCGGCCCAGGTGGGCCCCTCCCCAGCTGTCCTGGTACCTGCCACGGAGGAGAGGAGTCCCCGTAGCTTGTTGTATTTGCCCGTGTAGTCCCCGGCCTCCGTCAGCACCGCGTCGTAGTCTGCAAGAGGCAGGGAGCCGCTCACATCCAGCCCCGGGATGGACAGGCCCCCTGGGTGGCCACCCAACCCTGCCCTGCCCAAGCCGATGCCCCAGGTGCCCCTGGCGGGCGTGGCCACCGCAGGAGGACGGGGGGCCCCCTAACTCTGGCCGTTCCGGGCGCTGGAGAGTGACCACGAGGCCCCTGGACTCGCCGTAGCTGGTGACGTCGGCCTGGTACTGGCCATGGTGCGTGGCCCCGTTCATGAAGCCAAAGTTGGTGCCGCCGTGGAACATGTAGAGGTTGAAGGAGGAGCCAGCGTCCAGCAGGCCCGTCACGGTCTGCAGCACCTCTGCAAGGACACACGGGGTCTGAGGGGTCAGCCGAGGCCCTGGAACCGCCCCTCCCCCACTCACCAGCGCCAGGGCACCATCTCTCCCCCCTCCCCCCTTCCGCAGCCAGGCCAGGGCATTGCCCTTCCCCCCTCCAGCGCCAGGGCACCAGTACCCCCACCCGTGTCAGGGGACCACCCCCCACTCGGACTTCCCTTCCCAAACCAAGCAGAGACAAGCCAAATGCACTGTCCTGCTGGACACCCAGGGTCACTGTGTCACCCTGGGCCTTCTGCTGGGGGCACTGAGGGTGGAGGACTGTGGCGCTCAATCTCCGCGTCCCTGCCAGCGACTCTCTCTTAAAATTATTTTTTTAAACACTTGACTGGAAGACCCTTTCCTTTCGACTGACTTTATTTACCTGTTGGGGGCCACACCTGACAGTGCTCAGGGCACTCCCCAGCACGGTATCCGGATGGAGCTGCAGCCTCTACAGGAGCAGCACCAAGTCGCCCACAGCCTCCTGGGAGCGCGGCCCAGATGACCCCCACGCCACACCCCCTCCCACAGTGCCGGTGGAGCACAGGCCAGGGACAGGTCCGGCGCTGGGCACACCTCGACTGTGCCAACACGGCTGTAGGGTAGGGCTGTGAGTGGCCCTGCAGGCCGGGCAGAACCTGGGCTGTCTCATACAGCTTGATGGCCACTGTCTGCGTGGCCCACGTGGCGCAGGACAAGGCTGGGGTTCGACCCCAAGCATCTTCCGGGGGGTAAGAGCTGAGGCTGGGGAGGGGTGCGGGGTGGAGGGAGTACAGGGTTTGGCATGAGCAGAGCGTGTGCCACCAATCTGGTCGAGTCCCATGCACTTGGCCCCGCAGGCTCTGCCTGGCCCCGGGGACCCCTGACACCACCCCAGACCCCTGTACTGACCTGCCCACCAGCTCAGTTGGCCAAGGAGTCCCAGAACCCTGAGCACTGTGTGGCGAGCTCCCCCAAATAAACACCAGAGGGGACAGTTGTGCTGGGGCAGTTCCACGGAGAGATACCAGTGGCAGACCTGGGCCAATTCCAGGGTCACGAGTGCAGGGAAGGCGCCAAGGCCTGGCCACCAACTCCAGCCTCAGTGCTCTGGGTGCTGGAGGGTCACTGCGCAGGCAGTGTCCATGCCGGCCACCAGCCAGCTCACTGGCCCCAGTGTCTGCGCAAGCACATGGCACCAGCACCCGCATGTCAGGGCGGCCCAGCTCTGCGACCCTGAGGGCAGCCCGGGCTCGCCCACCCTGGTGCCAAGGCAGGTGACCGGCCGTGGCAGTGGCTGTCACAGGCCCAGAGACCGCCACACTCACCTGCAGAGTCCCGGATGTTGTGGGCACTGCCCCACGAGTCAAACCAGCCCGTCCAGTACTCCATCACCATCTTGGGCTGGACCACCTGGGCGCGGGGAGAGGGGCTGCTGCTGAGAGCTCAGCCTGCTGCTGCCCACTCACCCTGGACCCCTAGGCCGCTGGAAGCCCTGCATGGCTCAGCCCGCAGGCCAGAGGCAGCTCCTGTCCCGGTGCCCGCCTGGCTCTGTGCCCGCATCTCACACTCAGCCTGCAGGGGGCGGGCAGGCCCCACCTCTCCTCCCCCAGGAGGATGATGCCCCTGCCTGGACCCCCTTTCACAGGGCTCTGAGCCCCCATACCCAGAGCAGGGCCCAGAACAGAAGGTTGGCCTCAGCGTGGGCCGTGCCCTAGCCCCTCAGCACCCTCTATCCCGGAGGGTGGCAGCGCCCCCCACAAAGGGCCCCTTGAACCCCAGCAGGACACTGAAGAGAGGAGAGGTCTGAGTCCTCTCACTGGACAAGGCAGGGAGGGGCGGGCCAGAGAGTGGGCACTAGGCACCGCAGGCCCAGGGCTCCTGAAACAGCCCTTTGGTGTTTTTCCTTTTTGGGGGTCACACCCGGCGATGCACAGGGGTTACTCCTGACTCTGCACTCAGAAGTGACTCCTGGCGGTGCTCAGGGGGCCATATGGGATGCTGGGAATCGAACCCGGGTCAGCTGTGTGCAAGGCAAACACCTGCCTGCTGTGCTATTGCTCCAGCCCCGACAGCCCTTTTCTTTAGCGTGCTAGGGAGGAGGAAGGAGCACAGGAAGCCGGGAATCCCCGGAACCCCCAGGCCTCCTCTCCTGGGCCTGAGCCGCAGAGGTGGGGACGGGAGGCCGGGCAGGTGGGGGAGGAGCACAGGCAGTACCTGGGAGCTCTGAAGGAAGTTGTTGAGCACTTGCAGGTCCGCCAGCGACTGCAGGTTGATGGTGGCCAGAGCTGCCGAGAGAAGAGCCCACTCAGTGGGGGACGCCGGGCACCCCGCAGTCACCACCTACCACCACTGGCCAGCCCACACAACAGCCATTACGGCAAGACGTGCGGAGTGCAGCGCTCCCAGGCACAGGATCTGAGTTGAGGGTGTCCTGGTGGGCAAGTGTGGGGTGGTGGACGGGAAATGAGTGTGGGGTGGCAGGTTGTGAGTGTGGGGTGTCAGGCGGTGGGTGAGTGTGGGGTGGTGGGTGGTGATTGAATCTGCGGTGTCCGGTGGTGGGTGAGTGTGGGGTGACTGTTGGTGAGTGAGCGTGGGTGATGGGCGTGCAGTGATGGGCTGATCCCCACTCTCCTTCACCCATTCAACCAAAGTTCTGAATCAGCTTTGGTTGCCGTGGGGGGGTGGGGCACAGGGCACTCAGGCTGACTCCTGACAGCTCAGGGGTCACTCCTGGTGCTTGGGGACCTTACGTAGTACCGGGCTTGAACCAGGTCACCCACATGCTAGGCCAGTGCCTTGCCCTGTGCTGCCTCTCTAGGCCCCAAACCCATCTCTGAAGTGGCACCCAGGCCCCGGCCTGCCACTGGCACGGGACCTGGAATAGAGCCCAGCCCAAAGCTGCCCACCCCTCCTCCATCAGCCCTGGGGCTTGGAGCTGGGCCAGATAGGCCCCATCTCTGTCTCAGGGACCCATGGCAGGGGGCTACAGACGCCCCTCCTCGCTGGGAAGCCCCTGCCAGGAGGCCAGCTGGAGAGGCATCTGCAGGGGCAGGGCTGTAAGCACGCCACATCCTGACACCCCACCTGGTCTAGGGAGGGGGGAGGGGCAAGAAGGAAGGGGAAGGTGCCGGGGGCCCTGGGTGCAGTGCCTGGAGCAGACCTGGGGAGAGTATGGGGGTTGGGTGAGCCGGACATTCCCCACTCACACCCCCAGGACCTGGGAATGTCCCGTGGTCCCAGTTTGGGCAGCAATCAACCCCAGCTGCAGACGCATCACACGTCCCTTCTCGAACGCTGCGAGCCTGGTAGGTGCCACCAGGCCCAGCCTAAGCAGTCCCACCCCCTCCTCCAGCCCAGCAGCTCCCCAAGTCCTGACAGAGGAGACGCCCCCGCCCACGAATCCCTCCCCTTGGGGGGCACGTTCCCCCACAAGCTGAGCCCCAGCCCTACAGGTCTGGCAGCCAGTGCAGCTGAGGCAGGATCCTGTGGGGACACGGGGTGGGGACACGGGGTCCAGAGCCCTCTGGCTCAGAGATCAGGGGTCTGTGTGGAGACGGGGGTGGGGGTGGGGGCCTGCCCTCGACACCGCCTCCAGCGGTTTCGCTCCAGAGCCCCCCTCCCAACCCCGTCCTCGCACCCTCCTGCTGAGAGGCCCAGGAGGAGCGGAGAGGAGCACCCAGGCTGGACCCTGAGAGGGAGGACGGCAGCAGGGCAGCAACACGTGTCCCGAGAAAGCGGTTTCTGAGCAGCAGCCTGGAGGGCAGTGGAGAAAATGCCCAGGGAAGCAAGAGCGTGGGGAACCGGGTGGGGGCCTCCCAAAGGCCCCAGAACCTGATCAATCGCCGAGTGGGGGACAGCGCCCCCCCAAGTCACCAGACCGAACAACATCGCCCTCCCTCGGGGACAGGCCCCTGAGTCAGCCCCACACAAGCACGTCCCGCCAAGAAGCCGCCCACCAAAGCTCTTCTCTGGAAAAGGCCAGAAACCAAACAGAAAAGATAAAGTCACAACATTCTAGAAACGACAAGGGGGGTCTGGGGAAGTACCAGCCACAGGCCTGGGAAGCAGGACACAAGTCCAGGGGAATAGGTCCACTGCTGGACCCTCTGGGCAGGCCACCGAGCTGGGGCCCTGAGGTTCAAAAAGCAGCTTCGAGGGGCTGGAGCAACAGCACAGAGGGGAGGGTGTTTGCCTTGCACATGGTCAACCCGGTTCACTTCCCAGCACCGTCAGGAGTGATTCCTGAGTGCAGAGCCAGGAGGAACGTGCAAGGGCCTGGCTCAGGCACTGTTCAGCCCATCGCCTGGGAGCGCAGCAAGCAGGACACATGCCCAGGACAGCCTGAGGTCCCTGCACAGCGGGACAACCACGGGAAGGGGTATGGGCAACGCACAGGGTGCTCTGGGCACTGTGAGTGCGTGTGTGAGTGTGTGCACGCGCGTGTGTGTGTGTGTGGGGGGGAGTGTAGCCCATTCTTCACACGCGTCCACTTTAAGACTTCCAAAGGCCTCACTCAGTGAGTTTGACACCACAATGCCAGACAAAAATGCCAGACTGCAGGCGCCGCAGCTCTCTCTGGCCAGGAAGGAGTACGAGGGGGGACAGGGGCAGTACTGCAGGGCGGGGAGGGAGAGATGGATGGGTGGACCTGCGGATGCTGGTGGGGTCTCCGGGCTTGTGGGCTGTGGCTGGGGTCCCCGGATCTGTGAGTGGTGGGCGGTGTCTGTGGTGGGCAGGGCCTGCGTAGACCGGTCTCAGACGCCATGCCCACCGTCCACCCACTCTGAAGGCGCTGTGTCCCCCGGAGCAGAGTTCTTGGGACTGAGTGTCGGGGGACAGTGCCACCATGTGGAAGCCATGGGAATCGCCGCAGACGCCCAGGCTATCCCGGGGCGGGGCTGCAGGCCCAGAGGGTGGGGGTGTGCTGTGGCAGAGGCAGCGGGCACAGAGCTGCCAGAGTGATGGTGCCTCGTCCTTCCAGGAAGCATGTCGCTGCACAGGACCAGGCCCCGAGGGAGCGCGCTGTGCGGGACGCCCCTCCCACCACGAACATTAATCCCGCAGGCAGGAAGGCAGCAGCCGGCACAGGGCTGGGTGAGCTCCTGGGCGGGAGCACTGGGGCGCGAGTGCGGGCACGGCTGCAGAGATCCCGTGGGCAGGGCTCTGTGCGCCCGGAACCAGCATGCTGGGGGCACGCACAGCTGGCAGGGCCCGGGGACTGGGGGAGTCATATGACCACGATGTGCCCAGAGGCACGCACAGCAGCTATGGGACACCAAGCGGGAGTACAGGGACAGGGGAGTGACAGCGGCTCAGCAACAGGTCCGCAAAGCATGTGCACTCCGGAAAGATCCAAGAGAAAGCCCCAGGGCACTGGATCCCCTTTCTGTCCGGCAGTCTGGACACTGCAAGACATACCGCTGTGAGTTGCAAAGAAAGCGTGAGGCAGGTCCCAGGAGGGGACTCGCGAGTTCCCTGGCAAGCAGCCTTCCTGGCATGTCCAGCAGGTGGACGCACCTATAAGGCAGGTCAGGGGACATGGACCACACGTACGCCAGGTTCATCCACACAGAGACTCTGGAGAGTTCAGCAGGGTGCTGAGAGTTCAAAGAGCAGGGGGACTTGTCGAGGCAGTTATGAGTAGGAGAGCGAGAGAGAAGTGACCAGCAGGGGTGAAGTCACCAGCAGGGGACAAGTGACCTGCATGGAGAGAAGTGACCAGCAGGGGAGAAGTGACCTGCATGGAGAGAAGTGACCAGCAGGGGTGAAGTCACCAGCAGGGGACAAAGTGACTAGCAGGGGAGAAGTGACCTGCATGGAGAGAAGTGACCAGCAGGGGAGAAGTGACCTGCATGAAAAGAAGTGACCAGCAGGTGGGCCCACGTGGAGGGGAAGTGACTCTCAGGGCAGAGGGCAGGGGCTGTCCTCTCCTCTCCTGAGTGGGGGGAAAAAACAGTATAAGTTCTGGGGGGCAGGTGAGAAAAACAATGATGGGGGCTGAGAACAGCAGCAGATGGGCCGGAGGCACCAAGTTCAAATGGGAGGTCTCAGGGCAAGGCTGGGGGAAGGGGGTGGGAGGCTGGAGGGGAGAGCAGGGCAGCGACATGGACACGAGGGAGGTGCCCACAGAGAGCTGAGAGGCACAGGCAGCTGTGGCCCTGGTCCAGGGTGGGGAAGCAGCACGGGGAGCGGTCGGGGAGGGCAGGGCTGGGATACCTGTGTGTGGGCAGCGTGTGGGCAGTGCCCGCAGGACAGGAGAGGCGAGGAGGGCATGGTGAGTCCCACCCATGACCCATCTCCAGCACCACATTGCTCACTCACCAGCCACGATCCAGAGACTCATAAACAAATCTAGAAAGAGATCAACCAGCTGCAGAGATTCTTGGGACCCTGCCCAAGGCTGGGTCGTCTCGGACCTCAAAGGAGCAGGTGAACACAGTGCCTGCTCAAACAGAGCCCGGCAATGGAAAACTGCCACACTCCACAATCACTGCCATGCTCCCAGCTGGACTCCACTGCTAGGGAAGAGCCTCACCCAGAAATTAACCTGCTAAAAAACTCAGTTACGCAGGCTCTGTGACTGAAATCTCCAGGCTTTCGCGGAGTCGGGAATGGCTACCTCCCCGCATCTCCCTGCACTTCTGGAAGCCCTGGCAGTCTCACTCTCTCTCTCTCTCTCTCTCTCTCACACACACACACACACACACACACACACACACAAAGCCACCACCCAGTTGAAAATTTAACTCCAGCTCTATCACTGCATCTACAACGCTGGTAAACCAGGAGTAGCACACCAAATTAGAAGGGATGTATGAAATGAAGGAGGCAACCAATCTCAATTAACAAAATACAGACACCGAATGTTTAACCTGTAACACCTTAGTAATCTCTTACATGAGTGCTTACTAGCTCCATGATGAGTTACAATCTTCACTTTCTTTTAAGAAATATTCTTTGATCATTCTGTTAGCAAATTATTGATAGAAAGCAGTATAAATTACTGACGGCAGCTTAATGAGAGGTTGCGAAAATTGAAGACAATGGTGGAAGGAAGGTATAATGATGGTTGGATTGGTGCTGGAATATTGAATGCCTGTAACAAATGATCATGAACTTTGTAAACCACAGTGTCTATAGAAAGTGTAAGGGGAAAATTAAAAAATTAATGTTTTGGAAAACATAGATGTTAAACCTTCTTTCCTCTCCAAGGAAGAGAGAAAAGCAAGAGGGTTTATGTGTTTTAATCACAATAAACACTATTTCAATAACAAAATAAATTAAAATTTAAAAATAAATTAAAAAATAAATAAAAAGAAGAGCACAGTGCCCTGGGCCCGAAAGGCCCACCCGCACTGGCCAGCCAACTGCCCATCACAGTAACGGCCTGGCCTTGGGGCATGGCAGCCACATGCTACACACGGGTGGGCTTGGGGTCAGTCGGCCTCCTTGATCTAGGGGTGTCTTGGGATGCCCTGCTGAGAGGGCAGGAGACCGGGACCGAGGCTCTCCCGCCTGACCCAGGCCCCAGCAGGCATCCTGCAGCCTCACGGGTGGCCTCCGCACCCTTCCCCACACGGTACCTCCGTCCACAACACCCTTGCTCAGGCCATCCTTGTTGTCCGAGGTCAGGAGTAGTTCCACAATTCCCCGGTCCTCCAGGGCCTGCAGAGGGACAGGGTAGCACAGGGGTGGGGCCCTGCCCAGGTACAGGACGCCTGTATGGGGCCCTTCCTGACAGCAGTGCCAAGCCCCCCGGGCACGAAAATACTCTCGCTTGTCCCTCACTGCAGGGACGAAGCTCAGAGCCAGGCACGGCCCTGCCCCACGCCTTCCCCTGCAGAGTGACCATGGTCAGCCCTGCCCTCCCCAGGACCACGCGCTGCAGCTGGGTCCTCCCGTCCTCACCAGCACCACAGCGGTAAGCCTACCATCCCCAAGAGACTTTGCTGGGGGAGGGCGCCACCCAGTTATGCTCTGACGGTTCCCAGTCAGCCAGGCCAGCAGCGCGGTCCGAGGAAGCAGGGCTGTGCTGGCCAGGAGGTGCCAGGCATGAAGCAGCCTCGGCCACCTGCAAGGCAGTCCCTACCCGGATGCTGTCTCCAGCCCCCTTCCCAGAGAGTCTGATAGTCATGTCTGGGGGGAAAGGGACTCAAAAACTCCCCAGAGGGCCGGAGCGATAGTACAGCAGGGAGGCCGTTTGTCTTGCACGCGGCCGACCCGGGTTTGATCCCGGCATCCCGTATGGTCCCCCAGCACCGCCAGGAGTAATTCCTGAGTGCAGGGCAGGAGTAACCCCTGAGCATTGCTGGGTGTGACCCAAAAAGAAAAAATTCCCCAGAGGAAGGACCTGGGAAGGGAACCCAGGAGAACAGCAACCACCTCTCTCACGCAAGGCCCTGGGTTTGACCTCTGGCACCCGGGGTCCCATGCCCTGGGGAGTCCTGGTGGCTCTTGAACACTAATGGGCCTGAGCACCGCCAGGAGGAGCCCCAAAGCCCCAAGCACTGTCCCCACACAAAAAAGTCGCCAACACAAGAACAAACCACGAGGCACTTCTGAGCTGCAAGCGGGCGAAGGCTTCTCGGGAAGCATTTGCATCCTCCCAGCCAACCGTCATCCGACCCCTTCCTCCTCAGCCCGACCTTCTGGTCACTCCTGAGCCCAGAGACGCAGCAGAGGCATCCGACGCGGCCCAGCTTACCTTCCTGACGTAGGGCATGTAGGCGGGGTCCCTGTTGTAGGAGCCGTACTCGTTCTCCACCTGCACTGCGATGATGGGGCCTCCGTGCTTGTACTGGGGACAGAGAGGCTGTCGGGGCTGTGTGTCCCCACCAGGGGGCAGCAAACCTCTCGGCTAGGGACTAGGAGGGGCCTCGGGGGACGGGGTTCCCGGGCACATGTCGCCCCAAAACAGCACAGGAAGGGCTGCGGGCGGATGCTGCTTTCCAGGTCCAGGCACGGTCCAGAGTGAGACCAGGGGCCAGCGGAGACTCACGGCCCTCCAAATGCAGACCATCAGGAGTGCCTCCCCCACAGACCCACATCCTCCCTGGAGCACTACAGAGCTGTCACAAGGGAACACCAGGGCCTTCCCCTCCTGCAGGGACCCGAGTCTGGGGAGCACACCCCTGGTCCCAGCTGCCCGAGAACGTCCCCAATTCCGGCAGGCTATAGAAGGCGCCCCTGACCCCAGCGACCTGTAGGAGCACGTCCCCTGACCCCAGCTGCCTGCAAGACCACCAAGACCCACCCACCAGAATTAGATCTTTTCACGTGTAGTGGGAGGAGAATAGGACATTTCCATGCTGACAGAGAGAGAGAGAGAGAGAGAGAGAGAGAGAGAGAGAGAGAGAGAGCTAGGCCCCATCTTGCGGCCATCTGTGAAAATTCGCTGATAAAATAATCATGTAATACAGAATGAGCTTGCACGATGAATATAATCCTTGGAAGAAAACATAAAGGAGAAAGTTCACTATCCTGGATTTGGCAGTGAGTTCTTGGATACAGTACCACGGGCAACCAGAACAAAGGGGGAAAGTAGTTGTTGGATTTAATTAGAATTTTACAGTTTTCATCAAGAAAGGACACCGTGACAACGCAAATCTCCGAGTGAGGAGAACTACCTGCTAAGAGACTGATATGGGAGGGGCCGGAGCGGTAGCACAGTGGGTAGCGCCTTGCATGCGGCTGACCCGGGTTCGATTCCCAGCATCCCATATGGTCCCCCGAGCACTGCCAGGAGTAATTCCTGAGTGCATGAGCCAGGAGTAACCATTGAGCATTGTCGGGTGTGACCCAAAAAGAAAAAAAAAGAGAGAGACTGATACAGGAGTATTCAAAGAACTCCCAAATCCAGCCACCAAGACAACGATCTCAAAACGGGCCTAGGGGCCAGGGACAGGGACACTGGGGAAGGCCTGGCACAGAGCCGGCCTGGGTTTGGTCCCCGACAACCACAGGGTCCCCCAGCGGCCTGCCTGGGGTACATTCGCTGCTCACCCCTGACCACGCAGTCAGCAGCAAGGTGGCGAGTGGCACATGAGAGGCCAGTTCCACTCAGTTACAGCCAACACAGGTTACACGAACGACCCACTCTTCCTTGGGGCAGGCCCCAAGCACACTCTGAACCTGATCAGTCCTTACTGTTCCTTATCCATCTGAGCATCAAATGTCACCCAAGGCCTTGTTTTCTGTTGACTGGGGGCTTGGGGGTGACTCTCGGAAGTGCTCAGGGAACCGTGGGTGCCGGGGATTGAACCCAGGGCCCCTGAAAGCAAGGCTCAGTCTGATCAACCATCCTCAGGCCCACTGTGTCCTGGTTCTGTTGCCGACCTCAACTCGATCAACAGCCCCTCTGGCTGCTGATGGGAATACTTTGCACTCTGACCCCTGGGCACTTCTCTTACTCCACAACTGTGCCCTCCCTTCCCTCTGTGGCACCCCTGTACGGTGGGAACTGCATGCGTGCGTGGTGTGGCCCCCACACACCGAGCCAGGGCACTCGCACGCTCAGCCCTGAGCGCCTGCCTGTGGACTGCGGCCAGGAACCTCCTTTATGGACCGACTCCTCGGCATCACGTGTTTCTCTGCACAGTCACAGCTTCTATGGCGGTTTCTCTGCAGTCATCACACGGAGCACGTGACAATCGTGCCATAAAGGAGGGCACCTTCCTGGCTGTTCTGAGCACTGGGCTCGTTACTCCCTCCCCTGCCTCTTTCCTGACTCGGGCATTCAAGGCAGTGTTAGGAGACTTTCCCCCCGCCATGTGTTGGAACCCATGTTCTGCAGCTTCTGTAGGTGCTAAAACACAGCTCTCAGGTACCAATGAGGCGTCAGGTGCTATCTATCAACAAGGAAAGTGCTGCTCCCAAGGAAAGCACCCAGCGGGACGCAGGGGACCCCCGGGTTCAATCCCTGGCACTACCAGGTGCCACAAGAAGCTCCTAAGACTGTCAGCCTGAGCCCCAGACCATGAGTGAGGCCCCCACGCCCAACGGCACTGCTGAGCACTGAGCACCGAGCGCCAAGCAGTGAGCTGCAGGCATTTCCCATCTCCATCTGTGAGCCTGCAGCTTGTCTGTCCCATGGTAGAACACAGCTGCAGGGGACAGGGAGGACGGCGGGTGACGAGAAGGCGGCCCCACTGAGCGGGCGGGAGGAGGCCCTGCTCAGGGACCCCCGGGTGCCCCGGGGAGCCGAGCGTCACCTGCAGAGGGACCACCCTGGCCATCAGGTGATCGAAGTACAGGTCCACAGCACGGGTGAAGCCAGCGTAGGTGGTCCGCAGCATCATGTTGGAGTCCTGGAGCAGCCAGCTGGAAGGAAGGGGCAGCTCAGGGAGACGCCAATGGACGGACAGACAGACGTCTCTCAGTGCTGAGTCCTGACTCGGCTGCAGTGCTGGGATCACCGTGTCCTGGCAGAGAGTGTGGGTGGGGCGGGGGGGAACGTGCAGGGACCCTGGCAGGAGGGATCACAGTCTCCCAGCAGAGCATAAGGGTCATGCAGGGACCCCAGAGGTGGGGGTCATGGTGTCCTGGCAGATCGTGGGGGGCTATGTGGGGACCCCAGGGGTGGGGGCCGTGGTGTTCTGGCAGATCACGGAGAGCCCTATGGGGACCCCGGGGGCGGGGGTCACAGTGTCCTGGCAGATCGTGGGGGGCTATGTGGGGACCCCAGGGGTGGGGGCCGTGGTGTTCTGGCAGATCACGGAGAGCCCTATGGGGACCCCGGGGGCGGGGTCACAGTGTCCTGGCAAATTGTGGGGGGGGCTATGTGGGGACCCCAGGGGCGGGGGTCATGGCGTCCCAGAAGAGTGGGGGGGGGCTATGCAGGGACCCCAGGGGGCAGGACTGTGTCCCAGCAGAGCGGGAGTCCGTGCAGGGTCCCCAGCCTTCAAGCTTTCACTCCAGGACCTCAGCTCATGGGGCAGGGGCTATGCCAGCATCTCCTGGGCACCAGCATACTTGGGGCTCAGCACAGGGCCCGCGCTGGGAGCTGGGGGTAGATGCAACCAGGCCCAGGGGCACGGGCAGCCGGGGCAGCTCGGGAGTCCTCCAGCTCGCGTGAAGCCTGGGGAAAGCGCCCGTCTCCTGACGCCGGGCTCTGCTGCTCCTCTGGGCCCGACACGGGCCTCCTGAACACACTCCCACACAAGTGTGGATGCGCCACCCGCGCTCGCCTGCCTGGCCCCTCACTCCAGGAACCCCACCTGGTGCCAGCCCCCAGTCCAGCCCAGCAGATGCCCAGGACCCACCTCTAGGGAGCAGGACACCACAGGCCCCCAGGAGGCCCGCCTACAGCTCCACAGCTCAGAGGCGACTCACAGGACTGACCCCGGGGCACAGCCGCAGGAGGTGACCCTGAAGCCTCACCCCCAGGTGCAGGGAGCCAGAGGGAACAGGCCGCTGGCATGAGAGAGGGAGCCACGTCCCACTGAACCATGAGACCCCCTGCCCTCGCAGGGGCTGGCTGCAGGGCACTGTCAGGCTGGGCAGAGCGCTGACCAGCAACCTTCCATGGGCAGACCACAGTACTGATTGGTCTGAGTAATGAGGGGAAACTGATCATGGTACTGAATGATCAGAGTAACAATTGGAAACTGATCACACTATTGATTGATCAGAGTAACAGATGGAAACTAATCACACTATTGATTATCAGAGTAACAATTGGAAACTGACCATGGTACTGATTAGTCAGAGTACTGATGGAAACTGACCATGGTACTGACTGGTCAGAGCACTGATGGAAACTGACCATGGTACCGACTGGTCAGAGTAATGAAGGAAACTGGCCATGGTCCCAAGGTGGGAGCAGAGAAATGCCAGGACTTGGCCCCACCCTGCGGCAGTGCGACGCCACCAACCTGGCCATCCCTGCTCACTGCTGTCCAGTGGAGCAAGACTGACAGCTGTGACGTCCCCTACAACACAGCCCTCTGGGCCCACCTTCCTTTTCTGGTTTTTCGTTTTGGTTTGATTTGCTTTGGTTTGATTTTATTTGCCACATCTGGAGGTGCTCTGGGGGTACTCCTGGCTCTGCACTCAGAAATCACTCCTGGCAGGGCTCTGGGGACCATATGAGATGCCGGGGATCAAACCCAAGTTGGGTTCACGCAAGGCAAGCGCCCCCCCTGCTGTACTATCTCTCTGGACCCCAGGTCCTGCGTGGCCCAGCAGAACTTCACAGAGAGAAAGACGGCCTTCCCTGGGGAGTCAGCTCCACCCTGGCCAGTGTCCGGCACAAGTCGGGGGAGGTTGCCATCATGCTCACCTGGGCAGGCCCCCGAGGTCGATCTCGCTGCAGATGTAGGGGCCTGGACGCAGGATCACCCAGAGCCCGATCTCCCCGGCCATCAGGACGAAGGCCCTGCAGGGACAGTGTCAGCGCTCGGGGCGCCCGTGCCCGCTGCCCCCTCCTAGTCCAGGCTCCCCCCTCCCCCCGCTAGGGCAGCAGGACCCGCCCCAGAGCAGGTCCCCATGGCACCAGCCCAGATCCTGCAAGGCTTGGGCACCCGGGGGAGGCAAGCGTCCTCCCCACTGTACTATCTCTCTGGCCCCCACAGGCCCTGAGCTGACCCACAGCCCCAGACCTGACCCACAGGCCTGCTGTCCCTTCCTGCTGTCCCCATCCCGTGGCTGCTTCCACTGCAGAGCAGCTCTGGGAACTGGGCAGCGCCAATACCCTAGAACTGACGTGGGCCACGTATGAGGGTGCAGCCCGGCTCTTTTTGGATCCCAGAGGTCCAGATCCCTCCATTCCTAGTGCCCTGGGCCTGCTCCACTGTGCTGCCCAAGCCCCCCTGGAGCATGGCCCCCTGCCCAAGTATCTGCAACCTGCCTCCTGCACCCTGATTCCCCCAGGCCCTGCCCCTGCACCCCCAAGTGCCCCTGCCCCTGCCCCTCTGTACCCCTTGAGTCCCTGTGGGCCTACCCCTCTGTCCCCCTCACCTCCGATTCCCTGGTGCTGCCCCCTGCACCCCTGAGTGCTCCCAGCCTGCCCCCTGGTCCCCCTGAGTTCCCCTGGGTCCTGACTGCCCAAACCCCAAACACGCACTGCAGGTCCAGGTTCCCAGAAAAGTCAAATTTGCCTCTTTCTGGCTCATGCAGGTTCCAGGGCACGTAGCTGTCAGAGAGAACCGAACAGAGGGAAGATCATGCCTGATCTGAGCGGCACACTGCACGCCCCCTCACCTCCCAGTCACCTTCTCTGCTCTGAGTCCCTGAACCCATCAGGAGGCTGCAAAGGTCCTTCTTAGGTCACCATCAGGATTAAGTGAGGAGCCCTAGGGCCTGAAATCCAGGGCGAGTCTGCGGTATGTGTGTGTGGGGGGGGTCTCCTGAGGTCAGGGGACCCCAACAAGCGAGGGTGAGTGCCCCCAGCCTGCCTCCCCCTCTCTCCCTCTCTCTGCCTGAGAAAACGAATCCACGCCCCAGGGAAGACACTCAAGAGGGGAGAGCAAACCACGGGACGGGTTCCTCAGAGCACCCCAAAGCCAGGTGGGGATGGGGCCAGCTCTGTGAGGAGTGGGGAGGGGTTGCTGTCATCCCAGATACCCCAGCTGCTGGAGCGCCCTCTGACCTACAGTGTGGGGCCTGTCTGAGTATCCCTGGGAAGCAAAACTGGATCTTCTGCTTTGATGGGGGGGGACCCCTCAGGCTCCCCAGACAAGCTCGAAGCTGTGGGGCAGGGCAGGAGCCCAGGAGCCTGGGCACACAGGGAAGGGCTGCGTCCCATGGGTCCTGTCTGCAATCAGGACCCATGGCCTCGGCTCTGCCCACTGGGATGCACTGGGGTGAGATGCGGGCACCTGTCTGGGCCCATGGGGCTGAGCAGCAGCTTTGCGAGGGAAACTGGGGTAAAGGAGGACAGCATCAGATGGCATCTAGGGTGACCACTGTCCTTACTCATGTGGACACTGTGGGGCATCCCTTATAAAAGCATGACTGACTTGGGTGGGGAAGCTGGTGCAGTGCACAATAACGGGAACTTCGTCAGTGCATTCAGGGGGCTCACAGAGTACACTTAGCAGAAGCACCTGGAGTGTGAGTACACTGCAGTTCCCACAGATGGTGAGTACACTGCAGTTCCCACAGATGGTGAGTACACTGCAGTTCCCACAGATGGTGAGTACACTGCAGTTCCCACAAATGGTGAGTACACTGCAGTTCCCACAGATGGTGAGTACACTGCAGTTCCCTCAGATGATGAAGACACTGCAGTTCCCACAAAGGATGAAGACACTGCAGTTCTCACAGATGTGCATCCCACAGGGGTGTACACCTGATGCCTTGTAGTGCTATAATCAATGCTGACTGAAACCCTGGGTTTTGGGGCCACACCCAGCAGTGCTCAAGGCTTATTCCCTACTCTGAGCTCAGAGATCATTCCCAGAGGGGCTCCTGGGACCATATGGGGTGTCAGACCTCTGAACCCAGGCTGACCTGATTTTGATTTCTCAAAAGAGGGCGGGAACAAGCTGAGGTGGCAGACCACAGGCCCGGCACCCTGAGTTGGATCCCTGGCACCAGCTGGCTGAATACTGCCAGGAGTGATGCTGGGCCAGGAGCAGCACCCGGAGTGGGGCCCCCTGGAACAGTCTGGAAGCTTCCAGACTGTTGTGACACTGCAGTGCCCACCCACCACCTGGCTCCTTGCCAGGCTCCTCTGCCCACTGCTGCCCTTGCTCTGTGCGTCCCTGCGGATGGGGTGCTGCGGGGACAGAGCTCTCCTGCGCAGCCTCTGTCCGGTCACGCAGGTCTGGGCTGCTCAGGGCTCCCTGTACCCCTGCCCCCCGGACAGCCTGGCAGGCACTCACGTGGTGAGGGTGTTCAGGCCACAGGCCCGCAGTTTCATCAGCCGGTCCACCCAGTACTCCCTGGGCACGCGGAAGTAGTGGATGGAGCCCCCTAGGATCCGGAAGGCCGAGTCCTCCAGCAGGAAGTGCTGCCCGACAGCCCGCAGGCCCCTCTGCCGGGAGCCCAGCCACGCGGGCAGCGTGCTCGGCCAGTTCAGCCTGCAGGGAGGAGAAGCGTCAGGGAGGGCCGGGCATCTGCAGGTGCCCATGCGCAGAGAAGCCATGTGGGCTCCACAGGGCTCGGCCTTCCCTTCTGGCGAGGGGCACTTGGAGGAGAGACCCTCCCCACACACGCTGCCCCCACGGACGGCCCCTCCAGGTCACGCAGGAATGAGCAGACAGACACACTCAGCACAGGGACCCACAGCTGGGGGCACTGTGGGGGACAAGGGGCAAGGACTGCAAGGAGCCCCTCTGACCTCTGTGGCCGGCCAGCAAAGGGGGACACGAGTAGAGGCAGCTTGGCTCAGAGACGCATCAGCGTGGCCTTCTCTGAAGGGGGGTTGGCTGGACAGACACAGGGCACAGACAGAGGACAAAAGGGACATGGGAACTTAGGACCTTGGGTACACACAGGGACACAGGACACGGGGACACAGTGGGGACAGGACACATACAGGGGACATGGGAACACAGGGACATGGGGCACTTACAAGGAATGTGGGGACACGGGGCACACACGGGGACATAGTAGGGATACACAGAACATGGGGCACACTCTGCCCAGAACTGACCTGACTGGAGCTCAAGGGAGGTCAGAGTCCTGCTCTCACATCTGTCAGCAGCCAAGTTCTCACCCCACGTGCTCCCTGCTCCTCCACAGTGCTCCCTGCTTTTCCACAGTGCTCCCTGCTCCTCCCCCATGTGCTCCCTGCTCCTCCACAGTGCTCCCTGCTCCTCCCCCACGTGCTCCCTGCTCCTCCCCCATATATCCCCTGCTCCTCCCCCATGTGCTCCCTGCTCCTCCCCCACGTGCTCCCTGCTCCTCCCCCATGTACTTTCTGGTCCTTCCCCCACATGCTCCTCTGTTCCTGCCCGGAGGGTCCCCCGGTCCCCCCAAGTGCTTCTTACCAAGCCTCTGGCCACAGTACAATTCCAGCATCTCTGCAGGACCCCTGCGAAAGCACCGTGTGGCCCGTCCCTCACCTACCGGGTCCTGCCGGGGTGCCCACCCCAGACCACCCATGCACACTGGGGTTTCCACTGGTCAGTGTGGGCTGCAGGTAGTATCAGGCTGGAGACCTGCCCTGGACAGAACCCATGGCCCCTCTCGCCCAAGAACCAGGACAGAACGAGCACTGTAAAGACTCTGGCCCACGCTCAGTCACTAGGCCACGGCCAGGGACACGAGCCCTCGAGGCCCCCCAGTGTGTTTCAAGGGGCCAACCAGTACCTCAGGGAGGACAAAAGAGGGAAAGAGGAATGGGGGGAGGGAGGATGAGGGGGGTGAGTGAGGGGCATCAGAACAGAAATGAACGTGCTCCCTAGGTAGATGATGTTGGGAAAACTGGCCCCCACCTCACACCGAACACAAGCTCATTCAGAATGGATAAAAGGCTGACAAGTTTGGCTCAGGTCATAAAATACATTCAACAAAACAAAAGCTACTCGCTGCAGGAGGGGTATCAGCTGGAGATGGCTTCGGTGACATAGCTCCACAAAGGAACCGAAGCCACAGTGACCAAAGGGACTGCACCAGCTTCAAGAGCTTCCGGATCATGAAAGAAGCCAGCAACTGAGGCAGAAACCGCAGAGCGGAAGAAACGGTCTGCTCCACACACACCTGACAGAGGGCGAGTGTGCAAGCTACATGAAGTGTTCACAACAAAAACGCGATCAAAAACTGGGGAGAATGGCTACACGGACACTGCCCCAAACACGCCCAGGCCCAGCACACGCTCGACACCATGACCAGGGAAGTGCCAGTCCAAAGGCCAATGGGTCGCGGCGGGGAGAAGCGCATGTGTGAGAGAGGCACAAGCAGCCAGTTCCCGGGGCGCAGGGAGAGCCCCTCACTCGCGGGCAGTGGACACTGGCCAGCCCTGCAGAGACAGCATGGAGACGTCTCAGAAACCCAACACCAGAGCTGCCTCTGCCTACTGGCACGCCTATGCTGACTGCGGCGCCACTCACAACACGACAGCTGAACGCAGCCAGGCGCCCGAGACCTGGGGATGGTCCCAGGGGGTCGGTCTGCATGCAGCCTAGGGAGAGGAAGCCTGGGCCCAAACAGCATGGGCAGGACTAGGAGGCACGTCAGGAGGATGGAGAACGAGAGGGCGTCACACAGCCTGGAGCAGGGCAGCAGGGAGCAGGCTCGCGGAGGACAGACCTTCAGACTCGCCTCAGACTAAGGGGCCACGGAGCAGGTGCAGGGCCCAGGGGACCACAGGGGAGGGTGTCCACACACTGGAGGAAGGCGTGGGGTGGTGTCCCTACCCCCAACATCGATACAACCCACTCTGTGGCCAACATTACTTCCAAACATAACTTAGAAAAGTATGAGGCTACAGCACTTAAGCTAAAAACTGGAAACATCAGAGGCCCACTGAGAATCCAGTGGGACAACATCCCCCCCACATGCACACACACACCTGCATATGTGCACACAGACATACACACACCTGCACAGCTACACATCTGCACACATACATATATATGCATATGCACATATACACAACAGAAATACATACACAGGCCTGCACACATACATCTGCAAAACCTGCACTCACACACATGCTACACATACATACACACACCACACACACCTGCACATATACACCCCAGACACCTGCTCACATATGTACACATCCCACACATAGACAAATATACACACTACACACACACCTTACACACATCCCACACACATGCACAAACCACATACAGACAGACACCACACACACACACACACACACACACACACACACACGTACAACTTGGTTTCTGTTTGGTGGTTTTGTGAGTTTGGTTTTGTTTCTTCATTTTCAGACCACACCTAGCATGCTCAGAGGTTACTCCTGGCTCCGCACTCAGGTACCACTCCTGAATGTGCTCAAGGGACCATATGTGGTGCTGGGGATCCCACCTGGTCAGCCATGTACGAGGCAAATGCTCCATCCACTGTACTATCATTCTGGCCACTGTCACATAAACAGTTTTTAAAGACAATGAGAACAAAATACAGCAACCACCACCCCGTAATGATCCTTCTTCACGAACCAGAGCCCCAGAGAACAGTCTCCAATGTGTGCCCTAGTGCAGGCGGCAGGGAGAGCCCACTTCCTGGGACAGGCACACATTCCTGCGGGGGGGATCTCACCTGCCCCAGCCCTGAGGGGTGGAGCCTGAAGCCCCGCAGACATGCGGATGCCCAGTAAACACTGGGATCACGCAACACGCCCTGTCCCCCTGCAAACCTAGACGGGGCTTTCCCACAACCAGGAGAAGGGCAGGGCCATTTCTCCCCTCAGAGCCCCTGTCTGCTCCCAGGAGCCCCGGCTACGGCACCAAATTTGGGCAACAGCTGTGGGCAGGTGAGGAGGAACCCGCCTGGACAGCCTGTCATAACCGGCCACTGGGCCAAAACTGTCAATGCTGGGAAAAGCAGTGTGGTATAGCGCAGTCCTCCAAGGTGGGACCCACCGAGTCATAGCTGGCAGGGCTGAGAGTCAGGGAAGATGAACTGGGTCCATGATCCTACAAGGCAGATCACTCAGTAAACCCTAAACAAAGCCCTTAGCCTAACCACCGAGGCCCCACTCACACCTGAGTGCCCACTCACCTGAATCCCCAGTCACCCAAGTCCTTACTCACCTGAGTCTCCATTCACTCACCCCTCAGTCGCCACTCACTGCTGAGTCCCCACTCACCCCTGAGTGCCCAAATCACCCCAGAATCCCCACTCACTCCTGAGTCCTCACTCACTTCTGAGCGCCCAACCATCCTTGAGTGCCCATTCACCTGAGTCCCCACTCACCTGGCCCCACTCTCCCCTGGGCCCTCACTCTGCCCTGAGCTCCTGATTGCCCTCACAGACACTCTCTCCAGGTGGTGCTTACCAAAAGGCACCAACAACTTTTGCCTCTGTCAGTCCAGCCATTTCCAAACTCCAAACTCTGTGGAAAGCCTAGTCTCCCTCCTAAGTCTCATGCCGCGGTGCTTGGACTGTCTCTAATCCTCAGGAGACAGGGCCACACAGTTGCTGTCAGAGGGACCCACCAGAGAAGGAAGTGATCCCTGCTGGAGCTTCAGAGAAGCTGAAGCTGGCTACAGATGGCCATTAACCCCCTCAGGCCCTCAGCATGAGGCCGACCATTACTCAACTCCAGGGCTCAGGCAAGAAGCTCAGCAGCATAAAGACTGAAGAAGGGACATGACTAAGGAAAGTAGGTTACTGAGGGAAGGAGGTGATTGTGGAGAGAGGTGACTGAAGGAAGGAGATGGCTGTGGAGGGAGGTGACTGAAGGAAGGAGATGACTGTGGAGGGAGGTGACTGAGGAAAGGAGGTGACTGTGGAAGGGGGTGACGGAGGGAAGGAGGTGACTGAGGGAAGGAGGTGACTGTGGAGGGAAGTGACTGAGGAAAGGAGGTGACTGTGGAGGGAAGTGACCGAGGGAAGGAGGTGACTGTGGAGGGGGGTGACTGAGGGAAAGAGGTGACTGTGAAGGGGGGGGGTGACTGAGGGACGGAGGTGACTGTGGAGGGAGGTGACTGTGGAGGGAAGTGACTGGAAGGAGAAGTCTAAGGAAAGAGGGGGATGCAGGAAGGAGGTCACTGCCAGAAAGTCAAACTTGACTGTTCTGTGGCAGGGAGCCACCACCCAGCACTGGGAAAGCCCCACAGCCTCCACTGTCCCAGCAGAGACCAGGCCTCTGCCTCCTGCCCTGGGGCGCAACCTTCCTGCCCCCAGTTGCCCACATCCCCAGCTCTGCGGTGAATGGGAAAGGATATTCTCCAAATACACATCCAACAAGGGGTTGATATCAAGGATATACAAAGTACTGGTTGAACTCCACAAGAAGAAAACATCCAATCCCATCAAAAAATGGGGCGATGAAATAAACAGAAACGGTCTCAAAGAAGAAATCCGAATGGCTAAAAGGCACATGAGAAAATGCTCTACATCATTAATCATCAGGGAGATGCAGATCAAAACAACA